TGATCAGCAGGAATAGAAGAGAGTATATTGATGGGAGCCTGTTCCCAGGCTTGGGACATAGAATGGATGAGAATGAGGGCTTTCATTTTGTCATTAAGACCAATGCCCTGGCCCTGGATAGTGGCCATAATCATGGTGATCTCTGAGATCTTGACCATGATGTCATCCTTAGGCTTAATTTGAATATGAATAAGCCTTTGAAATTCCATAAATGTGGTCATGGCAGAAGGTTTGCCATATTTGGATTTCAATTCATCCCACATCTTTTTGGAAGTATCTTGGCTGTCAATAGACATAGCAATCATAGGATCACAGTATAGTGTAATAATTCCTTGGGCTCAAGTATTGGATATGCACCAAGGTTCCTGCTGAGCAACATCAGTGGGTAAAGGTTTAGCACTGTTGATGATATCCATAATGCCAAGAGTTTGCATATAGGCTTTCATAAGAACTGACAAAGAGGCATAGTTAAGGCCATTTAGTTTTGGAATTTGTTTTGAAAGGCCTTTGGACATCTTTAGATGTCCATGAGCAAGTGTTTGTAAAGGAATGACTTGACTGGATGAGTTGAATAGGAAGGTGGATTCAACATATGATCTGCTTGGCATTTGGGTCTGCAAGCAGTGGCTCCAGCAGATTGAGACCTGCAGTTACAACGAGGCTTGGGTGTATGTCCATGGGGATTTTGCCATTCTTTTATTATTGGTGTGCCTCTCTCAGCAAATCTCCACAAAGAGATGTGAGAGTTATTTCTTTCAAGAGAATCGAAATCTAAGGGTCCAAAATAGTGGTACACAAAGAAACTCCATGTTGCATCATGCAACAGGATTCTGTCTCCTATAAATCCCAAATAGGGATCAGCACAACTATAAGGTATGGGAAAAGTTTCAGTATTGCGAAAACTGGGACATTTAGAATGAACAGCAATTTCAAAGATAGAGTATGATTTGTCTATAATACACCCATCAGTTCCCTCATGGTACTGGCCTCCAGACGCATACAGTACATCCATCATACCAGGAAGAGGATAGCTGTGTGTGAGTGGAACAAGAGAGGTGAGCTCTAGCAAGAGCATTGGGAGGTGTGAGGTGGTGTCACAGTTGTGTGAAATAGTCAAAAGTAGTATCTGCCATGGTACATTCAAGATCTCAAAAAACATCCTCCATTGAGGGCCAGTAAGTGAATTGTTGGTGACTGGCTCAGTCAATCCATCCAAGATGATGGTTAGAGGTCATGTATCCATACCAGGTACCCATATCTCCTTCATCCTTAAGTTTCTGGGTAAAGGCAAGCAAGTCACTGTCAAATCTATCTCCTCCCACTTGTCTTTGATGGAACCATCTTGGAATGACTCTAAGGTCACTGGACCCATCAACCCAAGTTCCTCTGAAATGGCACTTAAGATATTCATGCCAAACCCAAAGAGGTGGGATGATCCCACAGAACTTGGGACCATAGAGAATGTGGGCATTGTACATGATGTAGATGAAGGTATTGTGGGTGATGGTTGAAGTGGGGATGGTGAAGAGTGAAGAATCTTCATAGATGATAGATGGTAAATCACAGCCATTAAAGTTGGCTATAGTGTGCAGAGAGGATGAATGAGTCAGCTTCAGGATGAAGTCGGTAAAATAGCTGTGATAGGCAACACAGATACCAGGACAGAAGTAAGGGGAATCTATGCCAGGGAAACTTGGCATGAGCTCCCAAGTGACCTTGATGATAGAGAGTGGTATGAGATACATGGCTGGATTTGGCCACTTGAAGAACACCATGGAGGATGGCACTGCCTCACACCAAGAGCTACACTTGCATACATACAGCATCTCCATAAACTCTATGACCTCCTTCACCACATACTTCCTCCACTTTTCTCCCTCATACATTCCATCCCAGTGTTCAGCAATTTGAGTTTCCAAACATTTTGTGACAACAAGAGACATGACTTGAGAGTAAATTAGTTCCTGTAATGAATAACTTTGCCATGAACAAGTTAAAGTAAATCGAACTCTGTGAGGTCATTGACAATGTCATTGACTGTGAGAATGAGCTCTGGATTGAGCAACTCATTCACAGCCATAACCTCCTCAGCCAAAGGCATTGGAGCATGAGGAGGAGGAGCAGGGTCAGCTGCACCATCCTTGGTGTATGGCAGTACAGGATCTAAGTCTGCCTCAAAATTGACATCAGGAAGATGGAAATGTAAGTAATGAGGCAGAGCAGGAGGAATCATACAATGTGCAGCAATGATGGCATGGACTGCAATGACAGGAGCAATTTGTCACTGTTGGAGTTGCCACCGGGCAGAGAGTCCTAGAAATGTCATCCAAAAGGCAGTCAAGCTGATAAACAGCTGACTCAAGTCACCAGGATCAAAAGCTCCATAATAAAGTAGAAGAACAGCTTGGTTACAGCCAGCAAGAAGTGACAAAACAAAGGTAATTACCACAAACCCTAGTGCATCCTAGGCCTACTCTATCCATAGTGATATGCCTGTTGGCAGTGATTGATCTATGCAGATAAAGTAAATAGCACATGCCTAGAAGGTGGGGCTCATAACCTATTGCACAGAGGACAGGCTATGGTACGAAGAGCAAAGACAAGAGCACTTGCCTTTAAACTTGAGTTTGATGGTAGGTTTGAAATTAACTTGAGGGGCTCTTGTTCTTGTTAGAATGGTAGAACAAATGTAGAATTCGATGGGGACTATGGGAGAATATCCCTGAGTTTATATACATGTTTCTGTACACACAGACCAGTAACATATAAGGAAACTGTTACTATGTATAGTATAGAATAGCACAGAATGCTATGGAATATGACACAATTAGTGATGTCATTCTGACATCACTGTGGAGCTGTCTGACTGAGCATGTCATGTGATGTAACATGTGTATCAAAACATGTAAGTCTAGATGAATCTAGATGTCAGACATATTACCATATTTCCAACATCCACCTAATCCTCCTGAGTGGTGTGTGGTGTGCACATTTTGTGTTAGCAACAGATGTGAATGTGTCATGCCCAAAGAGCCCCTGCAACCATTCAAGGACAAGGTTTTTCAAAAGGTTTGCCAATTTGTTCTACTCAGGTGTAGTTTTCAGTTCTTTGAAGGCTTGTAAATATAATTTGAAAGCTTTCTGTTATGTTTCTATGTCAAGCTCTACACCTGACTGATCACTGAGCCCAAGCCCATTAACTAAAACACTCTGAGGCCAAGAGAAAAAAATGAGTACATGGAACCGTTCTTTCGTACCCAAGACAGTGAGGCTCTTTACGACCTGTAGGTCTAGATTCAACGGCTTGCTCTCTGCCTGAGAAGCAAGTGGAAATCTACTGGTGCACTGTGCAAGCGCACGAACTGAGAGCCATTCGGTTCTCCGTGCAGGCGCCAGAGCCCAGCAAGGGAATAAACGCCTGGTTACGGGAGGACATAGCAGTGGATGGACCTTGTCTGGCAATTGCACGTGACAGAACTTATTGCAAAAGATGGCCGGGCCGGATGTGACAATGACGACGTCGAAGCTCAGCATCGAGTAGGAACCGCGTGCTCTCGATGAGACTTGCAAGTTGTATTTCTCTGCGGGGAAAAAGTAAATCGTACAGGACCATCCTTGCCTGTCCCATCACTCGGGTGCGTGTAGGAACAGATCCTCTTTCTATATAATCTCCCCCCGCGATATCTCCTTCGTCGCGACGAGGCCCTTGTCCTCGATCGCGTCAAAAGGACCGAACTTCAACGTTTCGGCCGAGAAGGTTGAAACCTTCTTGCCCCAGCACTACTCTTGTCTTGATTTTCGTCTAGATAGCCTTTTTGGATGTGTTGGTGGCGATACCCCGGTTGACAAGCAGTCCTTTTGCCTGTAGAATTCGTATACTCAGCGTGGCGAAGATAATGCACCACTTTGGTTGACGATATATTCTGGGTTGTCAGATCGTCAGACCATCTGACTTGTCGTTGAGTGAATCCCAGATGCTAGGTCAGACCATGTCAAACCAGTCAGACGAGTACACGGACAATGAGACCCCGACGTCGGACGTCTGCGGCGTCTGCATCTACCTGTGTTCCCTGCTGCAGACTGCTGCAGCGGTGTGTAGTTTTCCTGATGGATTCGGTTTTTTTTTTCAGTGGGGGTGGTTCCAGGGCTGTTCGAAGTGATTCCAGAACGGCATGTCTCGGCATTTTGTATGGCCTGTCAGCCCCAGTCCGAAGATTGTCTCGGTCAGCACATAACTGAGTCCGGGTGAGGGTTGGGATATCGGTGGGTCCTGGTAACTATATCAGATCATGTCTGATGGATATGTCAAGCACTCATGGACACCTGACACAAACACCCACTCAGTAAGAATGTACGGCAGTATATACTCTATCCTCTGAAGGAATAGTCTGGTCTGCAAAGGATATTGTAGGTGACATCTTCGACCTCGTACCGCGTGGTCGACAGGCTCGCAGTATGTATACCCCAATTGTCACCAACAAGCTGGCACCCAAACTAATCTCGTGAGGTGAAAAAATAACAACCCTATGCAATACCAGTCAAGATAGAACAATTGTCTTCCAGAGAGCCTTTGGTCTTTCTACAGGAGAGTCGAAGGTAATACCTTCTGGATTACTGATGATGACTATGTACAGCTGAGTCTACCGAAGTCGGACATTCGCATTACGAGTGCTGCTATCCGCACGGACAATATATCCCATGGACATTGAGACCTTGAGGGGAGGGAAGAAGAGGGAGGGAAACAGCGAGGTGTAGACTTACATACGAGACAAGCCTGCCCGAAGCCTGCCAATGTATGTACATGCAACGGAAGACAGGGGGACGTCGCTATGTGCGCGAGAGGCCTACAGATCACCGGAAGTAGGGCGTGGATCTGGATGATATACTGTACAGGGGCTTGACGAGAGTAAAACGAACTTAGCATACAAAAGGGGGGAAAAAACAACTGAAACCTCATATCATTGTCCATCATGCGGTACCTAACGGAAAACTTACGGCCGTTACTCCGTTCTGGGCCGCTTAATCGATTGACCATCAGCAGTGTTACTTTCGTTCTTTTCCCCATCCGGTCTCAATTCTCCATCGCTTCGTACCTGATCTGCATCCTCTTGACGCTCAGGTGAGCGGGAGCGTGGGCCAGGCGATGAACCTGACGCGTGGTCTCGTAGTTGCTGAACAACCCCTGCCGTTGCGGTGTTCGCTTGCGAAACACCTCTGAGCAATTCCAATTCACTTTCGGTGCGTTGTCGAGCCATGCGTTCTTCTTCCCACATTCTCCGCATTTCTTCCAACTGGGCTTGAAGGTCACCCATCGCCTGGTCCATCAATAGCTTCTCAAGTGTCCATTTTTCAATATTGCGCGCTTCATTCTCCCTAAGGTGGTGAATGTACTGCACCGCGCGCGCGAGGATCGCACCCTTCGCCTTTTCGCCCGAGCTGTTGGGGACGATGCGGCCAAGTTCATTGATACCTTCGTTGATATTGCCTCTTCGTCTTCGCTCAACTTCTTTCTTCGTTTGAAAAAGAAAGTAAGTACGTGTAGGAGAATGCTAATTGTCTCGAGACGTACATGGTTATCTTTTCTCTGGCGTGCCCATTCGTCCGTCCCCATTGTAGGATTTCTACCTCCCCGAGTACGACCACTCGTCATCATCATCGAAGCATTAGATTTTGCCTTGTCATCTTGGTCCCCTTCGTTTTGAACGCCGGAAATTCCTGGTGGTGGGGACGGGGGTAATTGAGGGCCTTGGGCGGCGACCGCGGCCGCCGAGAGTTGACCCAAGTCAGGTGGGCCACTGGGGTGAGACGATGGGCCAGGATCGCTAATGTCAGGTACTCCTGGAGCCGTCGTGTGAGGGATCGATACTTGATGTGGTGGATGGGGCAGCTGCTGTTGATTTGATTCCGGGATGGGAAACATGCCTGCCTGAACCTTTTGGAATAAGCCTGGCAACGATTTCAAGAGATTCTGCATCTCTACGGCGTCAATGCGAGGCTGTTCCATCACATCCAACAACCTCTAGCCCTAGTCGTGTCTGGTGCAGGTCACGGGGTAAGGAGGTTAAAGTCACGAGCAAGTCACATGTCGCTGTTTATATTCAACGCGTGAACCAAATAAAGGTGAACTTTATCGCCATGCCTTGTAGACACGGTCATGTGACCTCACACCACGGATTTTGGAAAGCTAGGGATGTCCTTGAATGAAGATTCTTGAACGCTGCATATATATTTGCCACATACATCCTGATGGGCATCAGAATGTTGAATTTAGCTTCAAGTTTAGTACATAATGCAGTGGTCAATATTTAGTGTTAGAGTAGAACAGTCCCTGTGTGTGAGTGCATGCTTACATAAGCATTTAGAGCGTACACTAAGTAGTAAATTTTACCTAAGTTCCCTCAGTAGCTTGTCCACTACTGAGGGTGAGTACACACATCTCATCATTTACTACATTCTGCTGATACATTGGCAAACCAACCCTCCCCTGGATAGCTCTGGCCAGTGCTGGCCAGCAATCCCGTACCCCAGACTATTATGTGTATGCCTGTGCTACTGCTTGATCTGGTCATGGCTGTGCATGTCATATGTATGTCATTGCCATGCTGGTATTTCAAATCATTGCCACTGTCCCTGTCATTACCTTTGGAGTTGTGTATATCACATTCCATCCCAAGCCTATAATGAAGGTATGAGTTCCATACTGTCAGTACAGAGTAAACAAACAGAATGTAGCTGTCCTCACCTCAGTGCATGAAGTAGTCACTCAGGTGGAAAAGAATGGTTCAGAAAATTTATAGTACTGTAATTAGTAAGTACAGTGACTTTGGAATTTAATTCCAAAGGTCAGAGAAAAACTCCAAGTGCCCTGGGCAAAACTCCAAGATGTTACTGTAACTCAGGAATGTTGAGTATGTGTTCTGGAGTTATGGTAATGTCTCAGAGTTTCACCCAGAGTGCTCAAAGTTTTTCTCTGAGCTTCAGAATTAAATTTTGATGTCACTGTGCTTACTAATTATGGTATTATAAATTTTCTGCACCATTCTTTTCCACCTCAGTGACTACTTTGTGCACTGAGGTGAGTATAGCTACACTCCATTTGTTTACTCCAAACTGATGTAGTGTAGAGCTCATAACTTCATTAGGTACAAATATAATGGCTACTTTGTGTACTGAGAACTCATAGCTTTGTTAGGTTATGAGCCATGCTCTTGCACTCTGATTCCAAAGGAGACTCTACAGGGCAACAATACCCTCTACAGAAAAAGATAATCACTCCTTACAAGTCCTAACCCTTAATGTGGATGGAAGCAACTGGCTTTATTACAAGACTTGAGTTGAATGGGCCATCAGTTTGAGAGGGCTGATTGGACACCTGTGTTAAGTCCATGTCAAGGTCAGAGGACCAAGGACCAAAAGCTGAGAGCCGATGCAACAACCCTTGGTCTTAGCTTGTGCACTAGACCCTTGTGCAAGCCAGGTTGAAGTCAGGGAGAACCAAGAGGGGTCAGGAGCAAAAGCTGAGAGTTGACTCAGACTTAGGCTAGGAGCTTATGGGGTGAACTATGTTGATATTCAGACTGGAGAACTAAGTACAGAGTATGTAGAGTATATATACTGAAAACTGGCAACCTGAAGGCTGGGGCTACTGGTGAGAGACTAAATAGCAATGCAAAGAAACTAACTAAAGGTTAAGAGAGGAGGCAGAGATTGGAGAGCCAATGACAGACACTGCCTCAGCACAAGCAAGGGCAGTACAAAGAGCTAACTAGAAAAGTATAGTAAGGAGTGGAGTATGTTTGGTGTTTGGCATTGGCTCAGTGTTCATGGTGTAGGACTGAGGTATGAGCATCTTGGTATATGACAGTATCCCCCCCTTAGGGTTGAGCCCCTGAGACCCACCCTAAGGTACATGAGATTGGCAGTCACCATGCTGGTAGAACATGTGTTCCCTGGGGTCAAAAGGTGTGCTTCTGTGAAACCTGTTTTCTCTCATCCTCTTCATCATGTCTTCTGCTTGTCAATCCACTCCATGCACATCCAACAACCCATCCAGTTTCCAGAAGGCCACCATGCCTGAGCTCCAGATCACTAGCAATGATGAGGAGGCTGACATCTGGGAAAAGATGGCCAAGCATAAGTGGCATAAGGCATCAAGGGAAGAGGCCACACAGCTGGAGGCAGAGAGGCTTGAGAGGGAGCAACTGGAGGCAGAGCAGTGTGAAAGGGAGTGGGTAGAGGCCAAACATCAAGAGCAGGAGTGGCTGGAGGCTGAAAAATGAGAGCAGGAGCAGTTGGAGGCTGAGAAGTGAGAGTAGGAGTGGCTGGAGGCTGAGCACTGGGAGCAGGAAACCCAAGCACAACAGAAAATGGGGAACTGAGGGGCAAGGTGCAGTGTGAATCAAAGTGTGGTTCAGTGGTGAAAACCAACCAAAACCAACACAAAAGACAATGAAAGTGAGTGGTGGTGTGCCTATGTGGAACCTAGATGGCAGAGGGCCTTATTTGGGTGGGTTTTTGTGAGCTACAACACTCAAAGATGAGTGCTGAGGGTTGGGGGTGCTCCTGATGAAGAGCATCAGCAAAACCCACAAATGTGCTAGTAACTCATAGCTGCCCATAGTATTTGTGCAATTCCATATTAGTCCAAAGCAATGTAAAGCATCCTAGCAAGCAACTCATAGTGCCAGAGTAGACTACACCAGACTTGCCCAAAGTAGTGGCCAGCATCCAAGTAACCCATGGCACCAGAGTAAGCCACACCAGTGATACCAGCAATCCAAAGACCAATAGCTACCTAGCATACAAGGGAACAGACACACCTAGCTAATACAGCAACCTAGATTCCCACTGTAGTGGAGAACTTGGTAGATCTAACTTCATTCCTATGCATGAAGGCAACAACACACAGACATAACATACAGCATTTTTTGATAAGTACAGGAAAGTAATGGGTAGTACTAGTCTAGACAAATGATGAGTATTCAACTACTGGCATGCTCAATAACTGTGCTTATCAAGATCTGGCATAAGTAAAATAGCAGCCCAAAAGAAAAGAGCAAGCATAGCATACCATCAGACTTGAGAGATGGCTGCAGCTCACTGGCCAGAACACCAATGTTGAAAATAGGCTCCCCCAGTCTGCATTTTTTCATTGTTACATGTAATGAGCCAACCTCCATATCTTTTTTGTGGACTCTTGCCTTGCCACTGCCTGCCTTGTAATTGTACAACTTGGCCATCAATTTGTATTTGTGGGTGATGCATGCAACCAGAGCTTGTTCTGCATGAAAGACTTCACATTGTGTGCATGCTACATCAAGAAGAAGAAGTGCCTCATGATTCAGCTGACTCTTTGATTCATGCTGCAGATTGAAAACCTATCAATGAGCAGTTATTAGGAAGGAAAAAAAGAACTTACTGTGTGAGTGGATGACTCCAATATTCCATATATCTCAGCTAAGACACCAGTTGTCTCTGCTTTGACCTTGGCACTACTAGAGGGGCTGTTGCAGGAAGAGAACCTGCCATCATGAGGCTTATGGGGCAGTCCTTTGCTGCCCAGGCAATGCTTGACCATGGGCATGGTTGACCCAGCATGAAGGTGTGTGTGATTGAGGTTATAAATGGACATGAGTGACTATGTTCATGAATGGGATGTGATTGGGTAGTATATGAGGAATCCACTGTGTAGTGATCTGAACAATGTCCTGATTTGCACTGAAGTGATAATCACATGACATGGAATTGGCCTGCCTGACTATCTAGAGTATGCCCTGCTGTCCAAGTTGCAGTAAAGGTGGCTTCCAGAGTCACAGCACTGTTGCAATCCACATGAGCCAGTCATCCTCTGGGTGCAATACCTGGGTCAATAACTTAGTCTGCCTTCTATGCATTCAACTAGTTAGCTAGGGTGAGGGATGTATAGTGCTTGCAGGAGAGAATCTAAAAGTATTCAGTGAAGTACTATGTCACTAGGGGTGCTGCTTGAAAGGGACTAGGTGAAAACTAGTAGGTTTTCTGGCCTGAAGCCAAGACCCAAGTCATCAAGCTGAGCTGTGAGGTGGGCTGGGTGCTGAACAGGTCAGCTTCAAGTGAGACATTGAGTTTGAGGCATTGGACAAAGAGCCATTGGCTTGGCTGCTTTGGACAGACTGTGAGAGGGAGCAGTGGGTGGGAGAGAAGAAAAGAGAGACTGGTGTGTGGCTCAGCTGAGCCTTGAGGCACAAGTGGGAGTGCAAAGGAGAGAAGCAACAAGCTAACTGTGTTCCCATGCATAGACTATATTCTCCATATGCTACATGCCTTTGCTACCAAGAATTGCCATCTACACATTCAACTAGTTAGCTAGGATGAGGGATGTACAGTGCTTGTGGGAGAGAATCTAAAAGTATTTGGTGAAGTATGATGTCACTAGGGGTGCATGCTGCTTGAAAGAGACTGGGTGAAAACCAGTAGGTTTTCCAGCCCAAAGCCAAGACCCAAGTCATTGAGCTGAGCTGTGAAACCCATATCATAAGGAGTCAGCAACACATCCAGTGAAGCTTGAGGCCTTGGAAAAAGGAGCTGTGGACTCACTTCCTACTGTACTGGGGTGAGTATGTATCATTTGAGGGCATTGAGTAGCTCTGGTTTGGACTGTAGGAAAGGAGTGAGCACCAGAGCATGGTGCCTGAGGTATATGGTGAAGGAATCCCCTGATCAGTGACCCATGGTCTTAATGACATGAAAGGGACTTCATTCAGTAGGTAGAAGAGCATGCCTCTGATGCAGAGGCTGTGGCCCTTGATATTTGGCAGTCCTGGGTGAGATTTGGCTAATTTCACTATCATTCTCATTATTCCTGTCTTGGATAGGGGTCTAATGCTGTGAATAGGGTGCTTCCAGGTGAAGAGGTGTGCATTGTTGGTAGCTGGGTTTAGAAGAATGTGGTTTTGTAGGGCTTGCATGGGGACTGTGATGGGGTTGTCTTGGGGGTGCATTGAACTGTTTTGCCCTTGATCAAGAACTTTGTGGCTGGGAGGTTGAAGACCATTACCAGGAGACCTTGCTGATTGTGTACAAGTCAGAGACTTGCCCTGGAGATGTGTTTTGTTGGGTCAAAACTTTGGATGGAGGGTATGGTGAATTCTCCTAGTCTGGCAATGCAGTAGAACATTACTACTATGCATGTGTATATTGCTGCATTGTGTGGGTCATCTTTGTTTAACATGCCATGGAGAAGTTTGAGGGTGTCTGTGGTGAATGGAGCTCTGTGGGGACATTTAGAAGAGGCAGGGGCTAGCCTTGTGGCACCCTCCAGGATGGCTTTGTACTCTCTTTCATTGATGTCCCAGCTGCATCTGTGCATGATGTGCCATGCTCAGATGCCTGCTGCATAGTTTGCAAGAGTGGAGCCCAAGTGGACTCCAGCACAGCTTGCTAGGAATGCTGAGAGTAGTTCAGATGAAATTGGGCACCTATCACTGTCTGGGGTGTTGTTCATGTCTGTCAAGTTCATGGAGTCCAGGTTTGAGACTGGACCAGAGGCCAAAGTGGGTGCAAGGCTGAAGGGTCAGGAACAGGTGGGGAGCAGAGGAACAGAGGTGGACTGGTTGGACTTAGCAACTGGGAAGGCAGTGCTATTCCCTTGTGTGGGTTTCAGTCTGAGTCTGAGGCCAAGGCAGGGTTATCAGAATGAACTTAGTTGATTTCAGACTGGAGAGAACAGGCCAAGTATCCAAGAGTTTATATACTAGAAGTAGCTATAGTACAGAGACCAGTAATGCCAGTCTCTCAAAGATTGCTAAGCTGATTGGTAAGGCTGTATTAGTAAGGTATGACTAAGGTGACCAGAGACTGGGACAGGGCAGACTGTAACCAAAACTGCTGATGCCAGTTGACCTTGGAGTTGAGGATTTTGGCTACCTTGAACTCTAGTTCACCATTGACTTTGACTGGTGGGGGTGGTGGTTGAGTCCAGTTCAGGATGGTATTAGGGATGGCCAGTTTGAGTTGGGAAACATGAAAGATGGTGTGTACTGCATGCATTGAGTCTGGCAGGTGCAGTGTGAACAAATGGGTACCAGCCTGAGCTATGACTGGGTATGGCCCAAGGTTTTTCTCCAAGAGCTTCTTGGAAGGCTGGGTTGACCAGAAGTACTTGGCTTTGACATATACTGTTGCAATAAATGCAACCAGACAGGGGATTGAACCCTGGACCTCCCAGGTTTTGACTGGGTGCTCTAACCACTGAGCTGTTTGGTTAAGGTATCTAGGCTTACTTGGTGTGGTTTAACCACCAAGTGCTAGTAGGGACTAGTGTTGCTGAGTGCTGGAGTATTACACTTGCAACATATACTTGGTCACTGACCTTGAAGTCTGGAGCCAGCATGCATTTAGCATCAGCTGGGCCTTGGTATTGTTGTTGGGCAAGGGTCATCTCTTCCCATAGGTATTGGTGCAGTGAGTCTAAGTCAACTGCATAGTCATGAGCCCAAGAGGATGTGAGGTTGCACTCCAGGTGCACTGAGATGTTGGGGTGGTAGCCCTTATTGGTGAAGAATGGTGAGACACCAGTAGTAGCACTAGGGGCATTGTTGTATGCCAACTTGGCCAGGGGTAGTAGTTCAGCCCAGTTGTCCTGCTGGTAGTTGCAGTACACTTGGGGATATTGTTCAAGAGTCTGGTTGGTCCTCTCAGTCTGGCCATCACCTTCAGGGTGATAGCCTGAGGTGAAGTGTAAGTGCATATCTAAGGCCTTACCAAGTGACTGGAAGAAGTGGGACATGAACTCCAAGCCTCAGTCTGAGGTTATGTGGGCCAGTACTCTGTGCTTGGAGAAAACATGGAATAGGAATAATTGGGCAAGCTTTGGGGCCATGATGATGTCATGTGTGGGTATGAAGATGGCCTGCCTGGAAAGCCAGTCAACTACTATGAGGATGGCTGTGAAGCCAGATGAGGCTGGGAGTTGTTTGAGAATGCTGTAAGGCCAATGGTGGGGAACCTTAGCCCAAGCACAGGCTGTGCAGTACCAGACATAGTCTTTGATGAATGTCCTGAGGCTGGGCCAGGTATACTCACACTGGATGAGCTCTAGTGTGCAGTTTTGGCTGAAGTGGCTGGACAGGGGATGGTTGTGCTTGAGCCACAAGACCCTAAGGCAGAGATCATTTGAGTCCAGCACATAGATTCTTCCATCAAGCCAAAGGAAACTGGTGTCATCTACAGACCAACAGGGATCAGACATGTTGGACAAGCAGATTTGTGAGACTGGGTTGTCTGGTAGTGTGGTCAGGATATCATTATGGAGCTTTTCTATATCCATTAG